CATTTTAACTTTAAATTTAAATTCAAATTAAATAAATTAAAGACAGTTTATATTTTATCAATTCTTTCATTCAAGTTTTCAATTAAAAAACTATTGATTTTGCTACCTTTGTACAGTCAATACACTGCAGCCTTTTAAATTTTATTCAATGGGCAGAATAAACTTATTATTTAACTCAACAAGACATGTTTTTGATAAACAGGTAAGTATATTATTATAATAAATTAAATAAATTTGCCTAATTCCTTTAATTTACCTAAACAAAAAAAAATTAATCAAACTAAAATAATATTTACTAATATATATATATAAGTATATATGTGGGAATATATATATTTTTATTACTTTATTTATATATTTTTTTTTCCTAATATCGATCAGACATTTTCTTATGGTTTTTTTAATTTCTTTTCATTTATTATTGTCTATGAGAAATTTATACGATAATTAAACGTTATGTAATTATGTTACATTACAGATAATCATATTATATTAATTATTGTTGTCCTTTCAATTAAATTAATTACTTACGAAATTAACATCTTACGTAGTTAAGAATTAGATAGATAGATAGTTTCCCCCTTTGATTGACATTTTCGTTTATGTATCCCATTTATTAGCAGTGAATATGTACGTAACTATACAAATCACGATTATCTCAATGGTACTTTCCTTGAATAACAATATAGTTTGATCACAGGAAAATCAATAGAAATGAAATCACAAATTAACGTTGACGTGATTTTTGATTACTGGGAACTAGTCATCGTTCTATTGTAGTTAGTCGAAGCTACTATTAGAAGCATTCGATCGATAACGTTATTCCACAGGTACAATATATATATATACACGTATGTGTATGCATGTAACTTTTGCACGTAACAGTTGGTTTACGAGCATGAGATAAGATAAACAAGAAATTTTCTTTTTTTGACAAAAATAACTAGCGTATGTTTTTGTTTCCACCCCCCCTTCTTCTCCTTCACCCCCTCACCGCTATATTATTTCATCGGAAAAATAAAGATAATAATATTCTTGAACTATTTTGTAGGATTTTTTTTTTTTATTATTCTCTGTCAATGTAATTAAAATTATAGAACCAAAATATTAACGAATGTGATAGAAGAGTAAAAATAAATAAAAATGAAATATATATATATATATATATATTTTTTTTTTTATTTATAAACGAATAAAATGTGTGTACATTATATGCATATGAAAAAAAAAAAGAGCATATCTTTTTTTTTTTTNTAAATTTATTTTATATATATATGTGCAATTTAATAGTCTAATTTTAACAAAACCTTGACACGAATATCTACTATATATGATACATATGTATTTGAGTTAGCTTTTGCATGAAATGTTAATAAAATTATTACGTGAGAATAATTAACATTAAACCTTTAACACTATTGCGAGGAGTGGTCAAAGTGATTGCTTTAAATAAAGAAAAAAAAAAAGAAAAAAAAGGATAGAACATATCTTAAATATAGAATGAGATTTTATAAATTGTGATTAAAATATATATATATTTTTTTTTTTATTTATAAACGAATAAAATGTGTGTACATTATATGCATATGAAAAAAAAAAAGAGCATATCTTTTTTTTTTTTTAAACAAATTATAATAAGACATCTGTCACATTTGACCACGTGTGACAGGGTTTAATGTTAAAAATGTGTTCCAACTATGGAGAATAATTATGCTTTATGCGACCATTATCACATATTCACAAAGTGAATAGAAAGCTCTAATAAGATAGATGAGAATTACACAGTCTATCGTCTTGTTCTACTATTCTAAGTCTTTGCTAATAAATCTTCTTATATTCTAGTTACAATCTCACAAGATTTATCTTACTAAAATAAGATTAATGTGGAATCCTTTGAAGAGTCAAAAAAACATTCTCATAATATCAGAATTCCAATGAATTAAAAGATAGTTGTCAGACATTTGTTTTTCTATTGGTTGTAAAATATAAATTTAAAAAAAAAAAAAAACAAATGTAATGGGATACGTATTTCAATCAACGTTTATTTTCTTTCGAACGAAAATCGAAAGAGATTAATTAGTTAACTGTAAAAATTGTTTTCCTAACTGGAAAGGCATGGATTTTTTTTTTTTTTAATTACTTTTAAATCTATGGGCAAATTTTTAATCAATCGAAAAAAATATTATTTATAATATATTTATTTTTAATATATTTGACTTGACGATTAATAATTTTGCAATTTTTTGTTCAACACAGTTAATTTATAGTTATTTATTTCGAATTATTAAGAAAAAAAAAAAAAAAAAAAAAAAGGTATTTATTTTTCGTTCGAATAAATATTGAATATTTTCGTTTAAAGTAAGCACACACAAAATGTTAGTATTTCTTTTATATACAAAAATATAATATCAACATTTCCCACTTATCGATCGAGCAAATATTTATTTTATTTTAACTTTTTATCATTTCTTTTTTTTATGTTTTCTTTTTTTTTGTAACAAACTCTTCGTACGAAAATGTTCGTAATCTTTAGTTTTAAAATTGATTATATATATATATATATATATATATATATATATATACAGGTACGAAAAATTGGCCATGGTCTGAAGATTAAATTCAAACCAACATTTATATTCAATTTATTCACAGAAAATATGAGAACGTGGATACAAATTGTTTTTCCCCAACGATATATTATATTATTCTTCTTTATTCGAGATAGAAAGATATCCTACGAATATATATTATATAATATATACAATAATTAAATAGATAAATATTTATATATAATGTGTATTATATAATCCCCTCTTTTTATATTACTAAACATTTATTTTTTTTAATAGTTTACCAATGAAAAAAGAAAAACTTTCTTTTTCACACACACACAGGTGAACAAAGTACTTCTTCTTTAAAAATGCTTTTGAAAAATAAATATACGACAAATAACACACACACACACACACAGATACATTCAGTATATTGACACCGGAAATCTTTTCAATGTACGAGAATCGATACCAGTGAAATCCAAACATTTTATACAATTTTCTTTACATTCGTGTAATAAAATAATAACATAGCGTGTATTTATTTCAATATTTCATCTTTCCATCAAACCCTTTTCTTTTTTTTATACAATACACATACTTATAATATATATATACGCGTGTGTGTACGAAAAGTAAATAGGTTGACCAGTTTTATGATTTTGATCATTAATAATTAATAACGATCGATAATATTTTTTCTTGTCTTATTTTTTTTGGTTTGTTTTTCAAAATGACAATCAATCGTTTTCGAAATCATATTTACTTGTTGAAAATAATATTGATTTAAAAATCAATTTTGTAATAGTTTATTTATCAAATGATAACTATATCCTCTTTTGTATAACGATTTTCATTGTTTGATCGAGAATTCACTCGGAATGTTCGAACAGGACTCGCTTCTCTACATTGACGCCATCGGATCGATGTTGATGGTAATCGTCCTGTAAAAATAATAAATTCAATTTATACCCTTCCTAATCTCCTTTATAATATATTTTCATGATTTTTATCCGAAATATGTATAGAACGTATTGTATACACGATGTAAATTAGAACCCGTAAATTAGAAAATTGAATAACATATTTTTTAACTGTCATATTATTATTCAATCGAATATTTCTTACATAAAAAAGTTGAAATTTTAAAATGTGAACAAACATTTATTATGAGAAATCGCAATTATGTGCAAAAGTAGATAGTTTTGTTTTCTTTTTCTTTTTCTATATATAGAAATATACAGTTCATTGCAATGTATTAAAAACATTATATATATATATATATATATAACTTTTACCGTAGTATATAAAGTTCAAAGTTTGATTCATGGAAGAATAAACTTAAACGCTTGTTTTCTCATATTTTATCAAGAATATACTTGGATCTCAGTTAAACTCAATTGAACTTGTTTCTAATATAATCTTATTACTTAACAGTTTTCTCGTTGAAATTATTATTGAGTTAAAAATGACACCAATGAAGAATAAAAATATCATTTTGTAAAACAAATTTGTTACAATATTTAATATCATCGAATGAATTTATTGAAAAACAAAATATTCTATCGAATTTTTTTTAATGTATATCGCGTTAAATATTTTAATTAAATTACACGTTTAAAAAGACATCATTTTAATTTTTCTTATTTTTCTTTTTACTTTTCAATGAAAATTAAATTTTCATTCAAGACAGAGATCTAACAACAAGAGAGCACTTACCGCACCGACAACGTTCACGACCAGAACCATGTAATTCTATAAATTCGCGCATTTGTGGGTCTGTCACGTTCGTTCGATCCAAAGTACAACAACATTTGCAAATTATCAATTGAAAATATACTCGAAATCTGTAACACACAAAGTTATTTCATTTCACAACGAAGAGTGATTATAATTTATATATCATTTATAACAATCATACATATTTATATATATATATCAACCTATTGTTCATCCAATAATATATGATAGGATTCACCATAGAATTCGACATGGCCAACCAGTAAAAGCTTAAATAAACGTGTTGAACGTAACTCCTTCGTAATAAATCTTGATTATGATAAACGAATATGAAAAATCCTTGATAGGGAAACCAACAAATGGCAAATATCATAACGATACTTATAAACATTTTAACCACCTGTAAAAACAAATATATATATATATATATATAACAACAATAAAAATAAACAAAAAAAAGTAAAGTAAAGTAAATAATTATTATCCCCCTATTAAACCACACTTAGATTATTTGTAATATTTTTTCCAACCAACATAACATATGATAAAGAACAAGAAGAATAAGAAGAGGAAGAAGAAAAATAACAAAGAAAGGGAGAGATGTTAAAAGGATTTGACTTGGATCTGACATTAAATGGACACATCGGTACGATCTCAACTTCGAATAGCCAACCTAATCCAACAGGGATTTAGGATTTCTCACCATATCCCGACTAGTATGTATTTAGGTTTGTACAAGATCGATAAGATTCTCGTTTTCAACGTATCCGATACGATTACTACTATGTTCAACCACGAATGAATTTTGTAGAAAGGAATAGGATATTTCGAGATATCTCTGTTGAATTCTTTTCGTTACCTTTAATCGTACAACGGGATTTATATTTCCCCCTTAGATATTCACATTTTAACTATGAAATCGTGTCTAGCGAGATAATTCATTCGCGAGCATGATACGATAACGAAAGGAACCATTTAACTTTCTTCACTTTTTATTTAGAGAAAAAACATTTGCAAATTGTATACCTTTCGTTTAGATTTCATTGATTCTTTTTGATTATGCGTAAGTTCTCCAATAAACTTCGAACCCCATAATTTTCTACCCATCAGAGTATAACAAACGGCCATTACCACGATGGGAATTAGATATGTCATATTGAGAAACAATATATTATAGCTGAAACAAATAAACAAATAAATAAATAAATATTGTAAAAAAGAAAGAGAATATATATTTGTTTTTTAATTACACGTTGATAAAGATTGAAAAGTTTCTCTCTCTCTCGTATATATTTTTATTTTTATCTATTTTTATCTTTACACGTAAATAAAATATATAAAATAGTAATTTATATTTCAAACCTTAATTTTTGATAATTCCATCGATTTTGATCATTTTTACAATTTATCATTATTTCATTCATTTATCGTAAACAATGCTAAATACAATAGTTAATCATTTGATGAACAATAATTGCAACTACTCTTAATTAAATTAAAGTTATTAGTGTTAGAATTCTCAATAGCTATATGCATATGTTATTAACAACACGCATACGTTAATTTCACATAATCCTTGACTATTAATACAAACATTATTAATTAAGAAATATCACAAAATTAATCGATAATCGATTTGTTTGTCTCGTTTAATTAAAATACAAAATATAATAGTTAGATTTACTTACAAATATCCTGTTTTACTATTCAAGTATTCACCATCGGGCCAAGATAAATAACAAGAAATTCTCGTTTTATTATTAGAATATCTGTAATTAATAATATCAAAGGAAGGTACATTTTCTCTATGTTGATATCAAAATTGGTATCCTTCGTTACCTTGTCTTTGTGGTTCTAGAATATAATAGACTGGGAATAGCTAAGATGGACGAGATTGTCCATATTGAAATCAAGGTTAATATAGTTCTCCTTCGAGACATGTGTCTTTTCAAAGGATACATTATAGCCATGTATCTGAAACGGTTGTATAACTTAATATACACGATTATCAAAGGACTAAATAACAATTATACTAAATCTATTAATTATAACCAACGAAATAAATACACAGACAGACAGACAGACAGACAGACAGACATATTATTCAAGCACATTTATATATCAAATGGGGAAACGAATAATTCGATTATCATTGATGATAGAACGATACGAATATTAATATTCTATTTATTTAAATGTAATTATATAATATTTTTCTATATATATATATAATATATCATTCAACAAAATATTTTAAGTCTCGTACAATGAAATACATTTGTATAATTTTCTATATTATTATTCTTCTACTTTATATTTGTTATTAAATGTAAGATATAAAAATGTAAAGTAAAAAAACACGTAACACGTGTAATATAATAATAATAATAATATCGATAATTATGTTATCCTTTAAACACAATTTTTGTTGTTATTTGTTCTATCATAAATATCAATCGATTTATTGAGTTACACACAAATGTTATCTAGAAATCGAATAATTTATCAGATAAGCATTAAGTTGACACACGAGGAAGAGTGAGGGTGGCAGGAGGGGGTGGTGGTGAAGGGAGACAAAATGATATACAAGGGGGAAGGCAAGCTATTTGTTTTGGTTTCTAGAAATGCCAGAGAACTAATCCATTTAAGGGTGCGTGCGTAACCAAGAGGCTTTGAACAACACGATTATTTGCAATGTTCCATATTCGCGAAATCTCAAAGCAGCTTCAAAGCTTCAAAGCTTCTTCCTTTCATTGAAGTAAGACTTGACATTGAAGATTTTCTCAGATCCTATTTCATCTTATTCTCACTATTTCTCTCTCTCACAGACACACATTTTTTTCTTCTTCTTCTTTACTTCTAAAAGAAGCTTTTCCTCTGATTTCCATGAATAACAGGACGACGTGATATTATTCGCGATAGCTTGGATCAAATCCAAACGAAGAAAATCGCGGCATGATCTGGAATATCGATGAATTACAAATTTCATGTTTCCTTTCTTGAAAGTTTATTCTTTTTCCTCTTTTTTTTGTTATCGAATATAAATTTTCTTAAAAAAACAAAATAAGGAATGTATATAGATGATATTTATTTGAGTTAGGATTTGTAAATAAATCATCTCTTTTTGTGTAATATAATATAATTAAATATTAAACGTTGTTATTATTAAATTTAATTGATAATTAATATTATTATATAATATAATGAATATAATATATTAATATAATATAATTAATATTAAATAATAATTAAATATTGAAAGTTGTGCTGACATAATTTTTTCGGATATGCAAAAAAAATTATGGAACTAATTGAAAAATAAAAAGAGCGCTATAGCCCTTCTCAACAGTCATACGATTAGTATACAGTAAAATATGATTTCAAAAATCTAATTATTATATTATAAATGATTAATAGTGAAAGAATAAATGAGAAAAATAAAAAACGAAGAAGTAGATGAAGATGAAAAAGAAATATTAATATACAGTATAAATAATGATTGCACAAATCTAATTATTATACTATAAATAATTAATAGTGATAGGGCACAAGAGGAAAAATAAAAACGAAGAAGAAGAAGAAGAAGAAGAGACAAAATAATAAATGAATAAACGACGAGTTTGCTAGCAGTGATCCTCGAAAGGGCCATCCTTAAAGTGTTTCTTTACGCGTTCGTGTTCTTTCAATTGGAAAGCAAGTTACTATATACCGAGAGAAGAATGGTGTGCTTTAGCTTTTCTCGTAAAACACAGATGCTTACAATTTTTGCGTTAATGGAATTTTTTCCGTTAATCGAATCGAAGCATGGGAATCGTTCTCGTGTCTCCTATATCGTATTCTCGTTTATCTTACAACCGCTTTAAACATTTCCACAAGAATTGTTGCCCCATTGATTGGTTAAACATCAACAAAATACACAAATTACAAAATGGAATCAGCTAAAAAAGAAAAACAAGAACAAACATATTCTCATTTCTTTTAAACGTTATACAAAAGTTAATAAAGATGATAATAATAATACGCGGGAATGAATTACAAACGAATAGAAGGAAATCTTTTTTTTCTTTTTTTTTTTTTATAAATGAACAAAAATTAATTCTGATCGTGACGTAAATAATTATTTCTATGTTTGACACTCTTGAAAACTTTTCGATTCACATTTGTATGTATCCCATTACGTGCATACGTTGAAAAGAAAATACTAAAAATGAACCACAGACAGGTTAAACACGATAAACATGTTGTTCTCGATAGAAAATTTCAAATGAAATTCTTTGTCGTATGGGACACAAACTAACCGTTAGTCATCACCATTCAATACTTTTTAAACGCGATAGAGACAGATTTTTATTTTATTTTCGTTAAAATAACTTACAGCTTTTTTTCCATACTCGTTTCCCCCTAAATATCGCGTGGTAATATCGAACGAACAACTTTCCAACAACTTCTACGACTACTTTTTTCCTTCCGAAAAAAAAAGAGAGAAAGAGAGAGATAGATAGAGAGAGAGAGAGAGAGAGAGAGAGGAAAGAGAAAATTGTAAAAAGATGTTTTAGCTTTTTCAGATCTTTAAAATTGGTAGAAAGAAAACTCGTTGAATTTTCTTCGATTTTCTTGAGTAAATTTTCTCACGAAATACGCATCAACATCACAAATGTAGTATACGATATTATTATAAGTACATATGTAATATAGTATATGTATTTTGGTATAAATATATATAAAACGTAGCCACTTTTATCGAAAACGATGCAGTAAACAACGAACATGTAACATTGAAATGGAATAATTTTTGTTTCTCCCCTTGTAAAGAGAAAAGTAAAAAAATTTACACACAAAAAAAAAAAGAAAAATAATTCTATATAGGAGTATAGGAGAAGAAGAAGTTTTATTTCGTATCTTTGATAATTCATTTTTTCCAACCAATTACGATGAA